TCTCTCTCTCTCTCTCTCGCTCTCACACACATGCAAGACGTCATGCTGTATCAACCCACAGCACATGACGTCATGCTGTATCGCCCACCGTAAGCACATTGGAGAGTCTGCTTTTGATTATATATATATATATATAGATATATGTTATTACGGGCATATCTTGACACTGCTTGGTTTATTGGTTAATTGGTTGGTGCCTGGGGTTGAGTAGTGGTTAAATCTCAGAGCTGGTAGTCTAAAATCTGCTTGTGTGATCAGTAATTCCCAACCAGGGGGTACTTAAGTGGGTTCCAGGGGGTACTTGGAAAGAATTCCCATTTTTCTAATAAAAGAGAAAATTTATAGAATACAATAACTAACCAATAACTAATAATTTATAATTGTGCAAGTTTGGTGAATTTGTTTACATAACTTAGTAACTTTAATAATAATGATAAATAATATCCAGTATAATATCAGATGAAATTTGACCACCAAGAAAAAAAAAAAAAAACGTTTTTTTTCTTTTTCTGTATTTACTATATTGTGAGCTTCATAAATGTGTCCATATATGTAGAGGAAAAAGAGCTGTGCCATAGTGTTTAGTCGAAACAACATGCACTGAAATCATGGGTTTGCAAATCATAATTGTGACTTTTTCATAATTTACATTAAAAAAAATCATATTTATGAGATAAAAGTTGACATTATGAGATATTAAGTCACCATCATGAGATGAAGTGTCAAAATGGCAAGATAAAGTCAATTATGACAAAATGTCAAAATTATGACATTGAAATTAAATCATAATGATTAGATAAAAAGTCAAAATGATGACAAATTGAAATTAAGTCATAATTAGTAGATAAGTCAAAATTATGACAAAATGTCGACTTGTGTCATAATTATGATTTTTTTTTCTTCTTATGTGGCAGAAATTGGCTTTCATTAAAGACCAGCCAAATGGCAAAATAAAAAAAGCAAATTGTGAACAAATTTTATATTTGAAATAACTTATACATTGGTAAATAAATGTTACATACTGAATAATAAAGACTTATCAGAAAGTCACGATTCATTACTCCAAGCAGCAATAAGAAAAGTATGTTGTCATTTGTATTAAGAACTGTGGCAAAAAATATATATATACAAAAGTATGCACAAAGTGTATAATAAAACAACAATATCAGGTATAAAAATATATTTTACAAACATCTGATGCCTATTTTCAAAATGTCTTCACATTTGAAAGGAACATTTTAAATCTGCTCAGGCTACTATCATTATTTGAAGCTACACACCTCAACTCACACACAATTTGATATTCGACACACTCGTGTATCTGTGTGTATTAGGCCATAAAGAGCCCACATCCTTCACATAGTCTTCAAATACAAATGGACCAAAAAAAAAACTCATTTTGAATCATTATCAAATTGTGTAATAACCAAAGAAAAGGACAATATATAGACATTTCTCTTAAGTTTTGTGACCTCCCCAAAGGTGCCACAATCCTAAATAATCTTTTAATGAGAACTGTGGCTATAAGTATGATAAATAGTTTTGAGCGCTATATGTAGTTAATTATTAATACCAAAATAACTGTGAAGGTGGAAAATCCCTGAATCTGTACAGTTATGGCCCCGCTTACATGCAGGTGGAAATAAATGCCCAAGAAGTTAGTGTACAACTTGAGAAATGTCCAAGCTGAATTCATCATATTTCCAGCCAGGTGTTAGAAGGAGGGGTTTCTGACAAGAAATATCCAGGGGCTCAACTCACTGAGAAGGTTCTCAAAAGTGAGCTGCGACGGGTTAAGCAGAGTTGTGGCATCACAGGAGTCCCTCTGGCTTATTCTCTAAGCTGTACTCTCTGGTCCGCTGCATTTTCCAGCCAATAAATGCCAGGAGCGCAATGCCTAATGTCTTATACCCCAGCTGCAGTCCTAGATACCTGCAACAAGTCATTATGATCATCATCAGTGCTACTAATCAGTTTATAAACCCTACCTTCGTAATGCATTGAGGTCAAAATAGAACATATTCTTACCTGTTTCTAAGGAGGTTGTTGTCATAGTAACCACATCCTTGCTTTTTCCCACAAGCAATTTTCCACCAGATACACGTGGAGTCTATGGTCATCCCGAACAGAGCTGGAGCTGGCAGCCAGGCTAAGCAAAGAGAGAGAAAAATTAACAATTTGACTACAAATGTAAACATATATATATATAAACTATTCACTAAAATACCAAAAAGGCATAGATAGTTTGTAATAATATTCTCAGATTTAGGAACTGTAACAGAGATTGATTTATTGATTGTACCCCTCACACAGTAGCTATGTTGTTGTATCGCCAGAAGGGGACGCTACAGTACTTACAGTATTGCAATTGCACTTGCACAGAAAAGTGTCCTCATCTGAGACTCATTTACACTGTGATTTACACTGACCACTGTTCTCTATTCCACTCTGTGTATTATCACTTATCTTGTTTTGAGGATCTTTCGGGATACATTTTAGGGAAAGATGTTTGTCTGAATACTTACTGCAGTCTGCACTTATAATTTAAATTGCATTTCACAATAAATTAATTAATAAAAGTACAAAGGTGTTTTGGTATTTTACTTACTCAGAACCCTCAGAAGCAGAAACTGAACCCCAATGGCAAAGGACTTCTCTTCTGAAGGAACTGACCTGTAGATAAAGACAGAATGAGTAAAATAAGATACAAAAACTCTATCTTGAAATTTCTTATATTTTAAGTTCTCACCCTACATGCAGTGTTTTGGTGTTTGTATGTTGGCATGCATGTTTGTTTCTCACCTGAGCACCATCATGTAGATGGGGTTGTGCGTTAGGCTGGCAATAAGTCCGGCCAGAGATATAAGGAGCATTACAGGCAGGAGATAGTGAGGGCAGGGGTTGGCACAAGGGCCAGGCTTGGCTGTGGCCACACCAGGAATACACTGGCAGTTACTATAAATCTGTGTGTGGAGGGATATTGGATGTCATTACACTATGACATTTAGAAGATTCATTAGTAGAACAAACATTCAGGCACCAAAATCTGGTCTGGCACAAAAATATTGGTCGCCATAATTATTTCTAGTTGACAAAAAAAACTACAGGTCTGCTTAAAGTCACAGAGAGCAGGAGAACTTCTTTTTTTTTTTTAAATAGGTTTTTCATGAGGAGAAAATGCTTAGGAGGTTATGTATTAAAATACACAATATGAAACAAATTCACCTGTCACAAGATAGCGTGACGTCAAAAACTACACAAGGTTAAAGGAAATCTGACCCAGACTTCAATAAATATAGGTTCACATGTAACAAGGACAAACATGTTTTGATGCATAATAACATAAGAAACCAATAATACAATAATTAATCAATTTCACTGTTTCCTTTAAAAGGCATTTTTCTTTACTTTTGAACGATTAATTGTGGGTTAGCAAAACCAGCTGAGAAACCCTGCATTAGTGCCTACATTCATTACAAACATTATTACAAGTGATAGCTAAAGGATACTATTATTATAAAGAGAACAACAACTAGCAGTGTTTCATTGATGCAGCTAATACTAACACTTATAACGCTTGCCTTGTGCTCTATTGACTCAGTGTCCTCGATTGCCTGTTTTGTTCATTTTAACAAGCAAGGGAGTCCAGGACCAAGTCTATTTCTCACTATAATTACCTCGTGGTATGATATGTGTGGTGTCATATAGAATAATTCATCATCAGCTGCTGCTCCTGTAAGTCTCTTGCTGGGCAATTATACAGAAGCTTTAACACTCGAAAGTTGTTCCGAGTCCCCAAAGCACTTCCTCCAGGAAGTATTACTGATTAGGGATTGATTGGACTCAACCAATTGATCTCTAAGAGACCATGACCGGTCATTTGCTCAGTGTTGCTAGTACAGCAGAGACTCACATTGAGCTGCTATCCGGCTTCAGTAATGAGCTAAATAAAGGTCTAGATGGACAGATATATGCAGTGGCTCTGCTCTGGTTTGAGATAATGGTATGGAAATTTCATGACCAATTTCTGTTTTGGCTGTCAGATTTATTTACCTGGACTCTATATGGGTTTTTGGGATCCATGGTGAAGTTTGCGCAGCCAGCATGGCAGGGTGAGATGTATTCAATGTTGTTTTCCCCACACACTGGGTTAAAGGCGCTTCTGGGACAGGAGCAATTGGCACCACAGGACGGTTGAGGCCTGCCGGGCAGAATGACACAATTTAGCTTCTACTTGCAGAATACAGAAACATTTTATAAATTGGTCATCTTAAAGAAGTAGTTTGAACTAAAAAATGATGACATTACTCATTACTTTTTTTTTCTTACATAGAACACTAAAAGAGATATTTTGGTCAGTCCTTTTAATATAAAATAAATGGGGACTGGGGATGTCAAGCTTCAAAATGAAAAGATTAATTAGGTGATTGAGTTCATAAACCTTGTCTGAATGACTGGTTTATGAATCAAACTGATTCGGATCTCAAATTCAATGATCCAGTCATATTAGGTAACATCTCACTGGACTGGAAGATTATCAGTCAGTAATGAAAATGTCATATTGTTCATCACATAACGTTATTGTATAGCTATAAAAAGTCAAAATGATGACAAATTGAAATTAAGTCATAATTAGTAGATAAGTCAAAATTATGACAAAATGTCGACTTGTGTCATAATTATGATTTTTTTTTCTTCTTATGTGGCAGAAATTGGCTTTCATTAAAGACCAGCCAAATGGCAAAATAAAAAAAGCAAATTGTGAACAAATTTTATATTTGAAATAACTTATACATTGGTAAATAAATGTTACATACTGAATAATAAAGACTTACCAGAAAGTCACGATTCATTACTCCAAGCAGCAATAAGAAAAGTATGTTGTCATTTGTATTAAGAACTGTGGCAAAAAAAAAATATATATACAAAAGTATGCACAAAGTGTATAATAAAACAACAATATCAGGTATAAAAATATATTTTACAAACATCTGATGCCTATTTTCAAAATGTCTTCACATTTGAAAGGAACATTTTAAATCTGCTCAGGCTACTATCATTATTTGAAGCTACACACCTCAACTCACACACAATTTGATATTCGACACACTCGTGTATCTGTGTGTATTAGGCCATAAAGAGCCCACATCCTTCACATAGTCTTCAAATACAAATGGACCAAAAAAAACTCATTTTGAATCATTATCAAATTGTGTAATAACCAAAGAAAAGGACAATATATAGACATTTCTCTTAAGTTTTGTGACCTCCCCAAAGGTGCCACAATCCTAAATAATCTTTTAATGAGAACTGTGGCTATAAGTATGATAAATAGTTTTGAGCGCTATATGTAGTTAATTATTAATACCAAAATAACTGTGAAGGTGGAAAATCCCTGAATCTGTACAGTTATGGCCCCGCTTACATGCAGGTGGAAATAAATGCCCAAGAAGTTAGTGTACAACTTGAGAAATGTCCAAGCTGAATTCATCATATTTCCAGCCAGGTGTTAGAAGGAGGGGTTTCTGACAAGAAATATCCAGGGGCTCAACTCACTGAGAAGGTTCTCAAAAGTGAGCTGCGACGGGTTAAGCAGAGTTGTGGCATCACAGGAGTCCCTCTGGCTTATTCTCTAAGCTGTACTCTCTGGTCCGCTGCATTTTCCAGCCAATAAATGCCAGGAGCGCAATGCCTAATGTCTTATACCCCAGCTGCAGTCCTAGATACCTGCAACAAGTCATTATGATCATCATCAGTGCTACTAATCAGTTTATAAACCCTACCTTCGTAATGCATTGAGGTCAAAATAGAACATATTCTTACCTGTTTCTAAGGAGGTTGTTGTCATAGTAACCACATCCTTGCTTTTTCCCACAAGCAATTTTCCACCAGATACACGTGGAGTCTATGGTCATCCCGAACAGAGCTGGAGCTGGCAGCCAGGCTAAGCAAAGAGAGAGAAAAATTAACAATTTGACTACAAATGTAACAAAATATATATATAAACTATTCACTAAAATACCAAAAAGGCATAGATAGTTTGTAATAATATTCTCAGATTTAGGAACTGTAACAGAGATTGATTTATTGATTGTACCCCTCACACAGTAGCTATGTTGTTGTATCGCCAGAAGGGGACGCTACAGTACTTACAGTATTGCAATTGCACTTGCACAGAAAAGTGTCCTCATCTGAGACTCATTTACACTGTGATTTACACTGACCACTGTTCTCTATTCCACTCTGTGTATTATCACTTATCTTGTTTTGAGGATCTTTCAGGATACATTTTAGGGAAAGATGTTTGTCTGAATACTTACTGCAGTCTGCACTTATAATTTAAATTGCATTTCACAATAAATTAATTAATAAAAGTACAAAGGTGTTTTGGTATTTTACTTACTCAGAACCCTCAGAAGCAGAAACTGAACCCCAATGGCAAAGGACTTCTCTTCTGAAGGAACTGACCTGTAGATAAAGACAGAATGAGTAAAATAAGATACAAAAACTCTATCTTGAAATTTCTTATATTTTAAGTTCTCACACTACATGCAGTGTTTTGGTGTTTGTATGTTGGCATGCATGTTTGTTTCTCACCTGAGCACCATCATGTAGATGGGGTTGTGCGTTAGGCTGGCAATAAGTCCGGCCAGAGATATAAGGAGCATTACAGGCAGGAGATAGTGAGGGCAGGGGTTGGCACAAGGGCCAGGCTTGGCTGTGGCCACACCAGGAATACACTGGCAGTTACTATAAATCTGTGTGTGGAGGGATATTGGATGTCATTACACTATGACATTTAGAAGATTCATTAGTAGAACAAACATTCAGGCACCAAAATCTGGTCTGGCACAAAAATATTGGTCGCCATAATTATTTCTAGTTGACAAAAAAAACTACAGGTCTGCTTAAAGTCACAGAGAGCAGGAGAACTTCTTTTTTTTTTTTAAATAGGTTTTTCATGAGGAGAAAATGCTTAGGAGGTTATGTATTAAAATACACAATATGAAACAAATTCACCTGTCACAAGATAGCGTGACGTCAAAAACTACACAAGGTTAAAGGAAATCTGACCCAGACTTCAATAAATATAGGTTCACATGTAACAAGGACAAACATGTTTTGATGCATAATAACATAAGAAACCAATAATACAATAATTAATCAATTTCACTGTTTCCTTTAAAAGGCATTTTTCTTTACTTTTGAACGATTAATTGTGGGTTAGCAAAACCAGCTGAGAAACCCTGCATTAGTGCCTACATTCATTACAAACATTATTACAAGTGATAGCTAAAGGATACTATTATTATAAAGAGAACAACAACTAGCAGTGTTTCATTGATGCAGCTAATACTAACACTTATAACGCTTGCCTTGTGCTCTATTGACTCAGTGTCCTCGATTGCCTGTTTTGTTCATTTTAACAAGCAAGGGAGTCCAGGACCAAGTCTATTTCTCACTATAATTACCTCGTGGTATGATATGTGTGGTGTCATATAGAATAATTCATCATCAGCTGCTGCTCCTGTAAGTCTCTTGCTGGGCAATTATACAGAAGCTTTAACACTCGAAAGTTGTTCCGAGTCCCCAAAGCACTTCCTCCAGGAAGTATTACTGATTAGGGATTGATTGGACTCAACCAATTGATCTCTAAGAGACCATGACCGGTCATTTGCTCAGTGTTGCTAGTACAGCAGAGACTCACATTGAGCTGCTATCCGGCTTCAGTAATGAGCTAAATAAAGGTCTAGATGGACAGATATATGCAGTGGCTCTGCTCTGGTTTGAGATAATGGTATGGAAATTTCATGACCAATTTCTGTTTTGGCTGTCAGATTTATTTACCTGGACTCTATATGGGTTTTTGGGATCCATGGTGAAGTTTGCGCAGCCAGCATGGCAGGGTGAGATGTATTCAATGTTGTTTTCCCCACACACTGGGTTAAAGGCGCTTCTGGGACAGGAGCAATTGGCACCACAGGACGGTTGAGGCCTGCCGGGCAGAATGACACAATTTAGCTTCTACTTGCAGAATACAGAAACATTTTATAAATTGGTCATCTTAAAGAAGTAGTTTGAACTAAAAAATGATGACATTACTCATTACTTTTTTTTTCTTACATAGAACACTAAAAGAGATATTTTGGTCAGTCCTTTTAATATAAAATAAATGGGGACTGGGGATGTCAAGCTTCAAAATGAAAAGATTAATTAGGTGATTGAGTTCATAAACCTTGTCTGAATGACTGGTTTATGAATCAAACTGATTCGGATCTCAAATTCAATGATCCAGTCATATTAGGTAACATCTCACTGGACTGGAAGATTATCAGTCAGTAATGAAAATGTCATATTGTTCATCACATAACGTTATTGTATAGCTCCAAGAGATTGGAATATAGCACACAAGTGGTATGGACTACTGTGTTTATGAGTTTTATGCTGCTTTTTGTTTTCATTCATTGTAATTTTATTGGAATAAACGACCAGTACAATATTCATATTCCATCTTTTGTGTTCCATGGAAGAATTAATAAATGTTTGTGACGACATGAGCGCAAGTAAACAATGAACTGTTCATTTAACATCCAGACACAGTCAAGTCTGATAAGAACATTGGTCAGGGATCAGGAACCTTTACAGTGTGTGTAACTGTTCTCACACAGTAATGACACAATAGTAGGAGTATGTTCATAAAGTTCATGGCACATGATCAAGTCACCAGTGTTCCCATTTGAACACACAGCGTTCCAGAGCGTTCCAGATATTTCCTTTCCTCCCAGCTGGCACAGTAAAAGTGTTCAGATATGTAGGACACAGTATTTTGTATGATGATCTGAACTCAAAGCTCAGAGTACATGAGCTATTCTCAATGACTCATGCCCCATTGATTATACAGTATTTCACTGGAAGTTGATCTGGACCTAAAGATACAAACTTTCATTAGAACACAATGGTCTGAATCCAAACACTGACAGAAGACAAAGAACAGGCATAGCTTAACAGTGTTTAAAGGGTCTGTTAGGACCGGTTGTCTTTTACATACCCTATTTATAGATACTACTATAAAGATCTCTTCATTTATTTAACTTTTTATGGCCTCTATCTATCTATCTATCTATCTATCTATCTATCTATCTATCTATCTATCTATCTATCTATCTATCTATCTATCTATCTATC